AACAATTGTACTTGTCATTTATATTTTCATATCAGTAATATTTTATAATGAATAAAATTTATATTATTTTATACAAGTGGAGTTTTTACTTTCATATACTTTACTACCCCCACATAACTATATTAATGAATATTTCTAATAAAATTCCAGATCAAGGTTATATACAGTGTTATTTCTGTAAAAATGTACCCATAAAATTTACATTTTGTTTTGGTTGAATAATGTAGCTTATTTATTATTTCTTGAATTATTTCGTGAAATCCTTCTGAAATTAGAAGTCAGTGAACCTATTGACCCTCAGCCATTCCCTTTTTCCGCCTATGGGGTAAAAAGGACTAGTTGAGCCACACGTGTGTTCAAGTTTTCTTCATTTTTGTTTTCATTTGATAAAATTTGCAGCAATTGTCGTCGATTCTTTGGTTTCTGTATTGTGAGTTTGATTTTGAACTTACAAGGGAACTCTCAGGCTTACTCTTCTGTGATTTTGATGAAACTTTGCATGGTGATAGAGTTGATAGTCAAACCGAACCTTGTAAAATATTATAGGCCTATGAGAAGTGGCTTAATTATAAAAACCAATTAAAGTTGCAAAAAATAGATCCTGCGATATATGTACACGTATTACTGTTATTTTTCGATTTGTAGCTCGTTATTTTTCGATAGCTGTGCTCGTTAAAGCGCCTGCTCCTACGTTTTGCATTCGGATTCATAGATAAAAAAGTTGAAAGTAACCGAGTTCGAATCTCACTAACTTAAAACTTATTTTTTGTTTTTTTTTTAACTTATTTTAGGTTTGAATAGTTAAATATCGCAATAATATTTATATTTATTAATTTATGTCATATAATTTGCCAACAAAAATTGAGTTATTTGAAACAAATCTATAAATACATAGGGTAGGGCGGGGCTAGTTGAGCAAATTTTTACTTAAACGGATGTACCACCTCAATGAAAAGTCTCAATAAATTGCTATATGACTTAATGGATTTGTTGTTTATCGCTTAACAAAAGTGTTAATACTATTTTTTGGTAATAAGTAAACTTTAAAAGCTACAGCTGTTTAAATGCAAAAAGTCAAGTATGCTCAATGTACCCCATTGAGGCAAGTTGAGCACTAAAAAAGTATAATAAAATCATAGGTTCAATGTCGATTAGTAATGAAATAAAATAAGTTTTTAATAACCAGTTCTATATTTATAGTCTTTATTGACAGAGAAAACAAAACTTATAGTAATTTGCTTTGAATAATTAACGAAAAGTAGAATCAACAGAACAATATCGTAGCTTAGGAATTTACCATTATATTTAGTATTTTTGTTTAAAATCATTATTTCTTTATATTACTACTCATAGACTTAGCTTAAATCTTAAAAATAATGATCAATTTCTGGAAGTTAATGGTAATTGTCTTAGTGACAGAACAAGTTTAGCAACTATGCTCAACTAACCCCAACTCGGAATTTCAAAATAAAAGTGAGTTTACAAAAAAACCGTGAGAATTATAGCCAGAATCTCTGTGCATATTAAAAGTACTATAATTATATGGAAGAATAAAATTTACCTGGTTAAAAATAAATAACATTTGACTAAACTAGACAAAAACTCGTGATGAATGACTTTTTTACTTTTTGGTCTCAAAATAAACAAAACGCCCGTGAGTCTCACTGATTTGTCCAGCGGCCACTAGCGATCGCGGGATGTTTATTTCTCCCAAACCTCTATCTTTCCGCCATATAATGCCTGAACGGACGGTGAATAGTTTTAGAGATATTTCGATTGCTCAACTTGCCCCTATGCTCAACTAGCCCCGCTCTACCCTAGCTGTTGATATTATCAACAATTTTTGTTTGCAAATTATATGAAATAAATACATAATAAATAAATAAATATAAATATTTTTGCAAAATTTAACTATTTAAACATAAAAATATTTTTTGAAAAAAAAGAAAAAATAAATTATGAGCTGTTAAGATTCGAACTTGGTTACTTTTAACTCTATTATCTATGAATCCGAATGCAAAACGTACAATTAAGAGCTTTAACGAGCACAGCTATAACCACACGTGGATAAGCAACACTATTGCGCGAGCATATAACGCGCGGTCTATTTTTTGCAACTTCAATTTTTATAATTAAACCGCTTCTTATAGGCCTCTAATATTTTATAAGGTCAGGTTTGACTATCAACTCTATCACCGTGCAAAGTTTTATCAAAATACTAGAAGAGCAAACCTGAGGGTTCTCTTGTTAGTATTTGTCCAATTCTTTTTATTATGTTATGTTATGTGTTATCTATGTCATCATATTTTCTTGTATTTTTAAAAACCATGTTATATTTATAGTTTAATATTATTATAGCTATCGTTGTTTTTGTCTTAGTTAATATTTTTTCAGATTCTTCTTATATGTATTTTTGAATATATTGTTTTTTGGCGATTTTTAAAATATTTTGCAATGTGGTGTCTATAGTATAGCATTCTATAGTCAACATCTTGCATATATCCTGAAGAAATGGGTTACATTTTGAGAGAGTAATGTTATCCAGTTTGCTCATTGTAAATCCGATGAGACAGTGTTCAATGTAGTCGTAGTCTCTGTTTTTTCCAAAATCTAGCTTTTTCGGAAGGCGCCACCATCTCCTAATATGTGCTGCGGATGATGTTCTGTTTTACCTAGCTTCGGCGGCCATATAACTTGATACCTCCAGGTGAAAATTTTTCAGTACTACGAAGAAAAATTTCTGCTAAGCCACCATGAAATGTATTGGTAGATTTTTTGGATATCTTTTATTATTATGATATGTGTTTGGATAGCTAGACCAGAGCGGATGATAAGATAGAAACACTGATTCGAGATTGATGTTTGTTTACAATATTTTACAAATTTAATAATTTATTTGATAATCTTTCGGTTATCGATAAGCAAAGTCTACATTTTACTAAATAACTACTTAATGACTGAACTCTAAGTTTGACTGCTGATCTAACTCTTAACTACTTTTTATATACTAAATAATTGTTTACAAAACGTGATTCCGAAATCTAACATCAAGGGCAAAAGAAGTTCTAATAACCTTTAAATAGCACGTAGTGCTTTTAACAAAAATAATAAATAATACATCATATTTATGATTAGAGAATAGTTGATTAACTAAGTAATTAAGTGGCATGCAGTATAATTTTAGAAAATACCTTTAGATACGATTGAATTAAATAAAATTATTTTACTTAAATTTTAATATATTCTATTTTAAAAGAAGCAATATTTAGTTTTGAAACATTTTACTACTAGGTCATACTAATTTTGCTTTGAGAAGGGAAATATTAGAACAAAATAATAATATGTTGCTGACTCATAAACTTGAGAAGTGCTGAATGTATGATGAAATTTAATATTTTGCAATAGAACATTCTGCCATATTAGGATACCTACCTTACGAAAGATTATTTAGAGAGTTATAGTCTTTGAGTTAAGAACATACAATAAATTATTACTTGCAGCACGGCGAGAAAATGAAATTAAAGGAGATGACGCCATGTATTATATTATGATATTTTGTTCTATATAAGGTTGGCGTAATAATTCTGAAGTGGGTTGCTAAAAGTCAGACCGAGACAGTTTGCATTGATTGCATAGAACTCGTTTCAGAGTCCTTTTACTTAAACGAAAATTTTTAATAAAGAATAATGCTGTTCACTTGCAAATCGATCAGACACTTTAAATTGATACGCTATCGTCGGTCAATTTCATTTCATAAACTACTCGAGTTCTACGATTGCTTTACCTCTGATTGTAGCTGATGATAATACTTAGCAACTATTGGATTAGTGGTTAGAGATATGTGATTTGAATCAAAGGTCCCAGGTTTGATACCTGCTTCGGGCAGTCTACCAAATATAGATAGCAATATGCTTTCAAGTAAAAATAGCCCTTTCTGGCATTGCTGCATTAATAAAAAATATACCAGTAATATAAAATTTTCAATAATTTGGGTTGTCATCGATATAGTCTGTGTAGTCAGTTAAGTCAAAACATCACAACCTTAGTTCTCATCGCTGCTCAAAGAATAACTAAATATGGTATCGTGATTTAGAACAAATTGTTGGACCTTTCAGTCACGTAATTAAAATTTCTTACAGGCTTAAATTTATTTTATTTTTGAAAATTTTGAAAATTTTTTTTTAAAACATTAAATAATGCCAACGTTTTTTCATTTTTTTAAATTTTTGAAACTGGATTTATTTGAAAAATTTGGAATACTGGATATTTTGATATTTTATGAAAAAGTTGATTTAATTCTTATTTAATTTAAAGTCTTTGGATATTTTAATTTTTTGTTCAATATTTTTGGACCAGCCTTCTTCAAAATTATTTATGCACACTGTCAACACAAGCATAATGTTTTTTGCATCTTTCTAGTCGAATGATGTTTTTTCATTCACCCAAGTAGAGGACATTTGTTTGAAAGATATAAATGAACTTTAAACATGAATAATCTTAGTACAAAACCCAAAAATATGAACGCAAAATATGTACTCTGTAAATATTTGATAATTTGTTGTACATATGTACAATGATCAATTTTAACAACCAAATGACATTTTTTGAAATTTTTTTTTGATCTCTAAAACCGCTAGACTAGGAATAGAATATTGTTTGAATTATTGGTGCTTTGGTTGATTGGGGCTTCCGAAAATGTCGACAAAAAATTGTATCTATATATACAACTTTCATCTGAAACGAAAAGATGTGTGAAACTTACTATAAATTATTCTATGCAAAGTTAAAAAATCTTCAAAATGTTTATACTTTCTGGTAATAAATTTATTAAAATTGCATTTTGTAGTAACTAGTATTAAGTATATGCATTTTCATTTAGAAAATTAAAAAAACCTTTTTTAAAAAGAACAATAATTGTGCATTGACCGCTCAATATGAAGCAATCGCCCTAGCATTTGAAAATACTAGATTGCAAATGAACAACTTAACTTATTTTCTAGGCGTATCCAAAATACTCATTCAACTATGGAGTCAAGGACGAACACACAGGCGACCACAAGACCCAAACTGAGGAACGTGACGGCGATGTCGTGAAAGGTTCATACTCCTTGGTGGAACCCGATGGTTCAGTGCGCACCGTGGAATACACCGCCGATGACCACAACGGATTCAATGCAGTCGTGCACAAATCAGGACACGCCAGTCACCCATCAGGTCCCGCCAAGGTAAAAGAAGAACGCGAAAGATACATATTTTAACAAATGGTATATGGCATCGCACCTTAACGCAAATTGCTTGAACTTTCCGTACTGTAATTTAAAAATTTTTCGCATTAAATTTTTTTTTGAAAATTCTGAAAAAATTAGATGTTTTAAGAAATTTGAAATATTTTGAAACTTTTGGAAAATGTTGACTTTTTTTAAATTTTGAAACACATTCAAGTTGGATGTTCCATGCTGTAGTAAATGTCATTTGTCAGGACATTTGCTTGAACGACATAAGTAAATTTTCAACATTATAAATCTTTGTATGAAACCCGAAGAAATTAAAACAACTATATACTTGTTATTATAATTTTTATAAAATATCCAGTCTATATATCTAATGATCCTCTCTGACCAACAAATTGCATTTTTTTAATTACCATAGAGTAAAATATAGTAGTAGCAAAAATCGAAAACATTTTTTGCATATCTTTATGTTTTGATAGTTTTTGAACATTTTGGCATGCCTTAGAAACAGTTCATGCATGTGCATGTGTATGTATGTATGTTTAAACAAAAAAAATTGTCCACGATGTTGGATCAACCTATTTTAGTGATTAAATAAACAACCGATTGTTATTGAGGGAGAAACATGCTGATTAGTTATTGGTAAAAGTATAACCATTTTGAAGATAAAGGGCACGACTCCTCATCAATATGAATCGAATGTTTTTTGAATCATTCAATTCGTTTGATCCATGCCCAAAAGGGAAACTGTCTATGTGGAAATCGTAGACGATAATTTGTATCCGCACATACATACACACATACGTACGTCTATTTTTTCTAAAGTATGCCAAAATGTTCAGAAACAATTGAAACGTAAAGATATACAAAAAAAATATTTTAGATTTTTTGACATTTATATCTTACCCCACGGAATATACTATAGAAAACTATTTCATGATATTAGGTACATATTACGCAGCACAACTGTGGAATTTTTTTTTTAACGATTTTTATGAAACTTTTTTTAGCAATAGATATCATGGTCTTCAATTTGTTCAATTTTATAAATTTATCAAAAAATAGCCAGAGTTTTGTTTAACATTTGTTAAAATTGATGTTGCATCGACCCATTGACGTTTTCCTAAAAACTACTAAATCGATTTAAAAAAACTTAAGAACCAATCGATATAATTTGACAAAGATTATCATTACTCTGTTTTGTGGAACGATCGGCCAAACTGCTTCTATGAAATTACCGGAAAAGTAAAAAAAAATCATTTTAACTCTCGTTTATTAAATCCATTTTCAAAATTTAAAAACTATGTATAAGATATTATTTGGGAATCGTAATGGTTAGTTTTGGATAATGATCGCCCGAGCCATTACTTACTAATTAAATATTTGAAAAAAAAATCTAAGAAACTTTTATAATGATAGGTAGGGTAGGGCGGGGCTAGTTGAGCAAATTTTTACTTAAACGGATGTAGCACCTCAATGAAAAGTCTCAATAAATTGTTATACGGCTTAATGGATTTGTTGTTTATCGCTTAACAAAAGTGTTAATACTATTTTTTGGTAATAAGTAAAATTTAAAAGCTACAGCTGTTTGAATGCAAAAAGTCAAGTATTTATCAATGTACCCCATAGGTGAGGCAAGTTGAGCACTAAGAAAGTATAATGAAATCATAGGTTCAATGTCGTTTAGTGATGAAATAAAATAAGTTTTTAATAACCAGTTCTATATTTATAGTCTTTATTGACAGAGAAAACAATACTTATAGTAATTTGCTTTGAATAATTAACGAAAAGTAGAATCAACAGAACAATATCGTATCTTAGGAATTATTTTACCATTATATTCATTATTTTTGTTTAAAATCATTATTTCTTTATATTATTACTCATAGACTTAGCTTAAATCTTAAAAATAATAATCAATTTCTGGAAGTTAATGATAGTTGTCTTAGTCACAGAACAAGTTTAGCAACTATGCTCAACTAACCCCAACTCGGAATTTCAAAATAAAAGTGAATTTATAAAAAAACCGCAAGAATTATAGCCAGAATCTCTGTGCATATTAAAAGTACTATAATTATATTGAAGAATAACATTTACCTGATTAAAAATAAATAACATTTGACTAAACCAGACGAAAACTCGTGATGAATTACGTTTTTACTTTTTGGTCTCAAAATAAACAAAACGCCCGTGAGCCTCACTCATTTGTCCAGCGGCCACTAGCGATCGCGGGATATTTATTTCTCCCAAATCTCTATATTTCCGCCATATGATGCCTAAACGGACGGTGAATAGTTTTCGAGATATTTCGATTGCTCAACTTGCCTCTATGCTCAACTAGCCCCGCTCTACCCTATTATGGTCCGAAAGGACATAGTAAAATATTACGGCCCTACGACAAATTGATTAATTTTAAAAATTTGCCAGAATTTGAAACAATATGATAAACTACGAAAAATGGTTAACTATATAAATTAATTAAAATTTGGAATAACAAGCTACAATTTCAGAAATTATAATTAATATAAATACAGATATTATAAATGCGTTTGAGAAATATCAATTGTATACGCAATGTTTACATTTTAGTGATAGCACACACTTTATTTTCGAAATAAATACTTGAAAATTGTATCTGACATCGGGTTGATTTGGGCAATTATTACATATATCGGGGAAGTTTGCGAGTTGCCTCAAAGAAAAATCCAACTTTCAACTTTTAGATTATTATTTATTATTAAAATTTATTTTTATTATTAAAAAATTTTTAATTTTATTCAAAACAAAGCAATTTTTTTAATGGTAATTAAGTTTTTGAGAGAATTTGAAAAAAAAAATATTTTATTTTTATTGACTAAACGAAAAACTGTTTAAATTTTTGGAAAGGCAGGTCCAGCTGTTTTGAACTCTCAATAAAAACTAGTTAATAAAACGCCATTTAGCCGGTTTTAGCCGGTTATCGAATTTTATATAAAAAATCTATTTTTGCTCGAATATTCTCTAATAACAAAAAAAATTGGCAAATTTATTGTGTTTTAAAGCAGTTTTTGACTGACTGAGAATATTTAATGTTAAATTTTATGAATAGTAACCAAATTTTAATTAGTAGAACAAAGACATTATAGTTGATTTGGATTAGATGACTCTGAAAATGTTTATTCGTTATTCGTGCATCATTTTCACATATGATAATATAAATATTTTTATGATAATGAAAAAAAGGAGTTCGAATAAGTAAAAATAATACATTTTTAAATAAAAAACCTAACTTTTAATTATATAAAAAAAATTGGTACATACAGGTACATACTTATTAATGACAATTTTAGTTCTAAAAACAATTAAACAAAACCCAAGTTCACTAAAAACTGAGAACATTTCTCGATTTGTTATTTAGATGTGTTCTATGGTTACTCACAAAATTTTCCGAATCGGAAAATGCTCTCTTACTTATATTACAACCGAATTAGTCTTAATCGTTCTTAAAGCGAGATATAATACTTCTGAAAACGTTGTTTTTTTATTTGTGGCTTCTAGGGCTAAAAACTATTTTTTAAGTTTGAGTAGAGTAATTCACTCCTTCAACAAGAAGTCACATTGATCTAAATCAATATATACATTGAAATAATAATCTAAATTAATATATACATTAGACAAAAGATGACACAGAACTTTTCTGGGAACTATAACGGACTGATATGATTCCAAGTTTTATGGAACCGATATGATTCCAAGTATCAAAACGCTTGTTTACATCAAGTATATTTGTCATTTTCCATTTATACAGTGAAAACCGATTTTTTCCGCTAAAAGGCCGGTTTTTGAATTTCATAATTTTCGTTAAGATGCCGGTTTTCAAAACTCTCGACATTTTCGACAGTATGGAATAACAAATTTGTTTGATTGAAACAATATTCGGTTTGTACTCGATCGCGAGGCGTTTTTTGCAAAAGGCAATTTTATCGTTCCGGAAGAATGGAGCGCGAATGGAGGGTGTCAAAATGGTCATGCAGTTTTTGAGTGAACGGATCATTCGACTAGATTAATTGAAAAAATATTTTTCTTGACTAGACGGTGTGCAAAAAATGCTTTTAAAGAACATTTCGCAAATTGGAGAATATTAAAAAAAACTAAATTTTGAAAAAATTCAAAAATATCAAAATTTTAAATTAAATCAATTTCTTACAATAAAATTAAAAAAAACGGATATATTCAAAAATTTCCAAAATCTCAAAAAAAAAATTAGAAAAAACGTTTTTTTTTAATTCCAAAAAATTCAAACTTCCAAAAAAAATTCAAAATTTTGAAACAAATTCTAAATTATGAAAAAAAAAACTAGCGGTAAGTGGAATTCTGTCTTTAGGCAATTAGGGCATCGTGCCTTAAGGCAAATTGCTGAAACTTCCTGTACCGCAGTTCGAAATTTGAGTAATCAATAAAAGTTGATCAATGATTTGAAACTTTTAAAAGAAGTTCGAACCATATTGAACCATATTCGTAACCATATTTGAACCATATTCGAACCATCATATGCAAAAACATACCGCGTTGAAATAAAAACGTAATTTCTGAAATATATTATATTTAATTAATAATATATTATATATATTATATATTAATTATTAATATATACTAATTAAATAATACAATAATCAAATAATTCACAAAAATATTTTAACATTAGCATTTTCCAATAAATTAATTTCAACAAATGAGATTGATTATATTTTAATTAAAATGTGACTATAAATAATTAATTATTTTTTATTCGTCAAATTTTACTTAAAATTTACAATGTATACTTAAAATGATATAATTTTCATGATGTACAAAGAAAATGAAAAATAAATAGAAATATATATACTGCAAATATTGAAAATTATTTGTATTCACACTGAAATTTTATTTTATTTATATTTTTATATTTCTCTAAATTGAGGCAGTATTGTTCAGTGAGTAAAATAGTATCGTCAACAGATTAAATAAAAGCATTC